AATCAATTTCTAAATCAACTATTTGGAAATCCACCGGGGTCTAATTTCTGTTTTTCTTCAAACTATTAAGAATCCTTAGCCGGATGTTTGGATTACTTATCGCTGGTCTCCGTAGATTCCATATCCTTCTTTGAATATTGTGTGACTTGAGTTTCGAATATTAGGAGCTTGTATTTTGTTACTTAGCCAAATCTTCCCTGATTATCATTATTTTCGTCACTGCACGATCATCCTTTCATTGCTGCACACTTTTGAACCTCGGCACTACATACCGGCCTCTTAACTAACCACAATTTGCTCTAATTCTGCAAATTATCCGTCATCTTAAAACTGCATGCGAATATAGTTAACAGTTCTTCCATAATTGCCCACAAAAAGCATGCAATCACCTTGCTGAATTCAGATGATTGACAAATTATATAAGTGCCAGGGAAGCCTCCTACAACTTCGCCAATTTATCAGCAGATTTAGAAAGAATGGAAGCCGTAGCCTTATCTGGAATTCGTTGAGATTACCATAGTGGACTAAGGCATCAACAGATCAGCATGACCCGGTGCTAATGCTTACTGGTTCGGGATGCAAGGTGGTTGTCATCGAACTGCATGGCAGACCGTGCCAGTGTAAATTTGGTAGAGATGATTACGTTTCACTTATAGCGACACACTTCTAGGCAACATTGGAGGAAACTAGAGCAAATAATTATGTGAGTAAGTGAATAGGCCATATGTTGGGTTAAGAGAAAGAGATGAGGTACTAGAGGGCAGAACAAAAAATAGGGGCGTGGAATGATGCCACGGCCGAAAAAATCGATTAAGGTAATTGTCTTCACTTGTCACTAGCTAGGTAAAGTAAGAAAGTTCTCAATTTATATTTTAGTAATATGAGATGTAGTCTCGAAACAATACTTAAAATGCGAAAAATTATATTTTAGTGTTGTTTAACATCGTAATTAGAACACCGTACTGCAAAACAGTGTCGTAGCATTTAAATCTTTAAAGGGTGACTAAATATAGGCTTTTAGGCACGACGAAGACTGAAGAAATTACCTGTTTCGCAATCCTGACGGATGACAACCATATTACTCGCTTGAATTAATAGGTGAAAGAGGGGATCTACCTGAGATTGTTTAAAGTCATCTAGTTTAATTTACAATGATTAAATGAGATCTAGAGATGCCATGGAATTTCAATTAGCTTTGCCTCACAAAATACTTTCCTACCGAGAGTAGATAGCAGTTTCGCCCTCAACTCATCTGTATTCACAGCAGGATTCGAAGTCAGAGCATGTGCGTGCGGCAACGTTGTAACTTGACCATGCAACCACTGACGCCAGTGGGCAACAAGACCATGTTACTATAATATTATACCGAAATTCGCAACTGTCCTGCAGCCCACTACCACATGTGGCTAAGATGACGCCAAAGGTTCACATACATGTTCTCCGATAACAAGGCAAGTTGCAAGGAGTAGTTCAAATCAACTCTAGTTGGCCATCGTATCTAAATTCTTATTGACAGTGCTCTCAACCCGCAGTTAGTCGAGACAGAAGTTCGCATATTACATTAAATTATGTATATATTTACAAGAAAATAGGAAAAAGCGTAAAGGCAGTTTCGTATAGTTGCTAAAGAGAAAATTCCAAGATTCTATTTATAAAAAAATAAAACTGTAAAAGGCTATTTCAATTAGCAGCAAAAATGCGTTGCTCTGATGTTTTTTAAGGCAGGCTCGTAAAAAAAGAATTTGATTTAAAAGAAATCTCGTGACAGTTTCATCCAATATAAATTGTTATAAAAATATAAAAACCCATGCATGTGCCTCAATTCAACATTAGTAGAAAATCTGAAAAGTCTAATTAAATATAAATGCCTAATAGTAGAAAATAAGTGACACCAAATGCAAAATAGGCTAAATAATAAAGATTCATGAAATCCTAAACGCTCAAAGGCCAAATATATCATCATTTTAGACAGGATTAGGAGAAAAGAGAATGAAGTGTTGAACGACGCTAAATTTTAGGGTTTCCTAAGGTTCTATCTTTCACTTCGCTAGCATCATACTCATCCCCGTCGTCGTCGTCCTCTTCTTCCGTTTCTAGGAAGTCGGCACTGTCGGGAAGACGCGGAGCTTCTCGCCAGTTGTGCCAGAGTTGATTTGAAGTCTGAACTGGATCACCACTACTCATACATGTACTGCTGGTCAGTCTGCGGCGCCTAAGATTAGTCTTTCCAGAGTGGCCACATGAAGAAGATTGGCTCGGAGCTGGAGAAGAGCAACCGTATCCAGAGGGCGGTACAGTGCTTACGCCTGTTAAAGTGCAGAGAGTGGCCCGCGAGTTTGAGCTGCTTTGAAACTTCTTATCAAAAATGGAAATATCAACCGAAGGAATAGAGGAGCCAGTGCTGAGCATGATACGAGGTGCAATATCCTCGGCTAAAGCAAAGAAAGTAGGCATTCAACTATTAGAATGATATTTATACTACATCAACGAGAAAGCACGAAACCAGTGATGACGTAAACTGTAAGTCAATACCGAGCTGAATAAATTTTGCAGTGAGAGAATTATTTAAAGATGAAAAATGCTTATTTAGATAAAAGAAGCCACAGAATTCGAGGTTAAATTTTGGCACTGATCTCAGTTTAAGTAATACCATTTGAATACCATTAAAGAGTAGTCAGATGTGCACATCCTGAAACTGCCGCAAAAATAATTAAATCACGAAATGGTCCTCTGGACATAAATTCTGAAAATCAAGGTGCCGTTGACGTGCAAATGCAGTCATGCATAGAGCGGCCGCCAGCTTCCGTTCTTAGAGGCAAAGCTTCTGAGAAATTCGTCTGATTGATCCCAGCAAAAGTAGTAGTCACTTAAAATGAAGATATTTCTTATAGCTTCAATTATAATGATTGGTCTTTAGTCTAAAAGTAACAATGTGTGAAATAATTGTTATAGTTTCACAGCTAGGATAATAACGTATTATTGGAGCGAATGGAAAACTATAAAAGAAGTTGGGTTGCAGAGCAGATTAATTATGTAAAGATGTAGTTTTTTAATGCATCCTTCAGATGTAGTCCTATTTTGCCTGTACAGGATTGCAATGGCTTATGTACGACACAACACAAATCAAGATAGGCCTCCGTTTTGTAAGTAGGAGTAAATCTAATAAGAAATGACTTTAAAGAGAATTGGTGAAGATAGAATCAGAGAATATTTAGGAAACCTTAGAAGTCTGCATCTTTCGTGGCCGTGAAAATGCCTAAACGCAGAAGTAAGAAAGGACAGAGGAGATTGACCAATAACACCCACAAGTGCTTTCTGTAGGATAAGACAGTAAAACAATTGACCTCAAAATATCTTGTTCATATGAGTTACAAATTGGGGCTAAAGATTACCATATGTTCAAATCACTAATGTCACTAACTAGCTAGATATGCATATAAATTGAAGATAAAAGACAAAGAGAGCGTGTGCAACTTGTGGTTTCTACAAAAGTCTTTAAAAATTTAGCAGACAAATGATTATACCTCCGGACCAGGCATTTGCCAAACTTGAGGGTGATCCAGCGACTACTTCAGCACTATAAGCCCTAGACTTGTTAGGCTGTTGCTCGTACAAACCAGAATAGTGATTGGTACAATTAGTCCGATAAGTAGAATGCTGATGATCGCTACCGGGCACAGAGTGTGACCCATTCCGCAGTTCAGTTGACGAGCTGGCGGTAAGTTCAATAAGCGAAGAACCAGTTGATTTCGACACATTCATAGATTTATCTGTTAGTAAATAGTTGGGATTCGAAGATTGTGAATTTTGAGTTTCTTGGATTCGGGGCAGGTTTCCGATGGACCCTGACCCCAGACTGGAGGTGGTGGTAGAATTTGAAAGTTGAAAATGAGATCGAGCCGAGGGAACCTTGCCCATTGTGAGAGGAACAGTCTTGTTCTAAGTGGAAAAATTATATAAAAAATGTCGCAATATAATAGGTAGGATATAATTGAGCCAATATGGCATTTGATAGGGACTAACTTCGATAAAATGCAGATCAATAGCTAATAAGAAAAATAAGTTACTATTCTCTACACATCTATAACGGTAGGCATAAAAAAAAGATAGTGAATAAAAAGTAGATAAACACAAGCTAAA